AGAGATAGGTAGATGGAATATTGAATGGAAGAGTGAATGGCGGGATGGATGGTTGGATGGGAGGGTGGGTGGATGGGAGCGTGGGTGAATGAATGGATGGGTAATCCAGTTGTATAAAGTTAGTGTCTGTAGTTTATCCTATGTTTGTAATCTGGATTTATCACTTTCTAGTTGAGTGACTGGGCAAGATGTCCGACTGTTCAAAGCTTTAGTTTTCTCATCTGTAAAATGCAGCTCCTGATAGCACCTATCAGAAAAGGATAGCACCTATGGAAAAGGTCATTCTGAGGACTGCTTAATCTAGTGCCTTGAGTTGAGTAGTGTCAAATGTATGGTAATTCTTTAATAAATGAGAAGAAGAAAAAGATAAGACTATGAAGCAAAGTTATGAGAAAGGTTTTATTTTTCTGTTGTTAAGGTGAATCACTTCCTATTTTAGGAAAGATTTCATGTCTTCATCGCAGGTGGCAGCACATCAAAATACTTACTGGGCTTGGTTCCTATGGGTGTCGTGAAAACTTAACCCTTAGGGAAAAAAATCAGACACACTCTCATTTCCTAGGCATCATGACAGTGTTAACCAAGATTTTAAGAAAATAAATGGATAGTCCTGACCTGAATCACTCATTTGCTAATTGTAAATTATTCTCTTTCTGGAAAGACCAGAAAGACTCAGCCAAGCTGATGATTCACAGGTGAGATACATATAAAATGTGGTTCTAGTGAGCAGAAAGACACCCCAGCTGGTCAGAAGCCCTAGGTTTACAATTCTGCTCCTTCATGTTTTAGTCCTAAAAGTAGTCTGAATCTCAGTTTCTTGTTAAATATTGGGGTATAATAGCTGCAAAGGTAATGGGGTTAGTATGAGTATCCCACCACTTAAGGCAGAGGTGAACACATTTCCCATTAAGGGCTTTCCAAAAGTAAGATGCATCACAGTGATGCAGACGGTTAATACGCCAGCCCCAAGTACTGAAGAACACTGACTTCTCCTGCCTGAATGGTCGGAACAGTGGTTTCTCCCGATCGGATTTGCTGCCCAATTAATTGTCTGTCTCCTCCTTGCCATGGATCTGTGAGATCCAGCAAAGACACATGCCGAAGGAAGTGGTGAACCAAGACAAATAATTCCAAAGAATTCAGGCAAAGAGAATTCTTTTCTTTGAACTATCCAGATATGCACCAGAAGTGGCTTTGGGGGAGGGGGAGACTGGGATCTGCAGGACTTTCAGCAGATCCCTCATGCTCCTAAATTAGACTTCTGGAGGGGCAGGGTGCCGAGGGGCTGGCTGGGTGCTGCCCAGGCTCAGGGCAGCTCGCCTGGCCTCGTACCCACTTGCCTGGCCCTGTGTCTCTGCTTCTGTCTCTGGCCTGTCTCACTTGCCTTCGAAATCACTTTTTGCCTCTGAATGTCTCTTTGTTCCTATTCTCTTTTGCTCTGCTGTTTGTCCCTGTCCCTCTAGTTCTGTCTTCCTCTTTTCTGTCTCCTCCATCGACTCCCTCATCTCTGCCTCTGAGTCTCGGGCTCCCACTCTCACTCCATCTGGTGGCTCCATCGCGGTTGTTGCTTTCCACCTGCCTCTCCCTCCATTTCTCCCTTCCTCCCTGTGTTTGTCACTGCCTGTATCTGTCTTTCCCCTGCTTTTGAGTCTCTGCCTCTCTCTCAGACCCTGAAAGCGGCTGCCCACTCTTTTATAAAATCTGCTTCCCTGTTCCTCAGTGACCAATTTTCTTTCCTACGGTTAGAAAGTAGCTCAGGCCTTAACCCATTTCCTCCGGCGTAGTCATATTAATTAGGTGAGACCAGGATCGTACATTTCAGAACTAGAATAATATTTATCAGGCACCCTGGAGAGAAGGGACCGGTAGATGAAGAGGTACAGAGCAAGGAGGGAGGTCACTGAGCTGAGGGAGGAGTGGGAGGGAGCTGGGGGAGGAGGGCCTGGCTAAGGGACTAGCTCAGAGGATGCGTCTGCAGAACGACAGCTCCCTTTCTTGCTGCTAGAGTACACTGTGAAAAGGTGGATCTTGGAGATTGGTTTTCAGGAGCTAGGGAAGCCCGCAGGGTGGGGACGGGAACATGTGTCTGGGTACTGCATGCCTCATGGGGTCACATACAGCAGGGTCCCCAGCTCCAGAGAGCCAGCCCTGCAGCCCATCTCTAGGAGTGCCCTCACACACCCCTCTCCTTGGCTGTGTTGCTCAGCACAGCACAGCCAACTGAGCATTCTGAAAGGAGCCAGTGCGATTCATTATCTTCTTTGCCAAACTGATAGAGGGATGGAAAGAGATAGTCTAGCGCTAACTTAGACTTCAGACTGTTTCTCTAGCAACAAGTAACATCCAGGCCCATTTCAGGTCCATCAAATCTGGTGGTCCTCAGGGAGGTGACCATCTACTGCCTGGACCCTTCCCTCTCCTTGTTGTTTAAGGCAGGATAATAATCCATTGTGTGACTGAACCACTTTTTGTTTATCCATTCATTCATCAATAGGTGGACATTTGGACTTGGCCATCTTTTGATATTACAGGTCTTCCCCCCTACCCCCCCTTTTCAAAAGGTTTTATAATTCCACTTCACTTTTATTTATTTATTTTAAAAGATTTATTTGTGCATACAGAACTGGGGTATAGGCCAGAGGTTCAGGGGCAGCGAGAGGCTTCACCAGAGACAGAGTGGGGAGCAGAACAGGCAGATGGACGAAGAACACTGCTGAGGGGAGCAGTGGGTGGGTCAGGAGAGGTCTGCCGCGCCATGTGGTCACCTCCGGGGTGGGCGGGGATCGAACTCATGTGGAAGTGGCTTTAGCTTCTCAGTGCTGTGCTTTAACCTGCTGTGCCACCAGGGAGGGCCCCACTTTGCTTTTATAAGCAGGTACCCACATTGTGAAATCCAAATTCACGTATATTATCTTCTGTATTTTCTTCCAAGTGTTTATGGTTTTAGTTTAATCTAGTGTCTTCTATTTAAATCTGTGATCCATTTTTGAATTCACTGTTATGTGTGGCTAAGGGCTCAACTTCATTCTTTTCCATGTGGATGTCCAGCTGTACTCGTTGAAGAAATGCTCCTTTCTCCATTGAGTGGTCTTGTAAGGAACCCTGTTGAAAATCAGTTAACTGCGAATGTATGGCTTTATTTCTAGACTCTCAATTTTATTACATTGGTTTATGTTTCTGTTACAGTTTTTGAATTCATTACTTTGTTACCATGGAAAGGTGGTAGGAAAGTACATTTGATAGTCAGAGGGGCAGAGAAATCAAGGTAACTTGCCTGGATGTGTGATTAAAAATATAGAAAATATTTATCAAATTTGGGGGTTAGAAGTCATCGTAGTTTAAATCCTTTGTTTTGCTGATGGGGAAAAAAGATTAAATTTCAATTTCTGAGAATAACAAATCTGCCCAAAGGTTCACAGCTCATCAGGGACAGAGCTGGGATTAGAATCCAAATCTCTTGATTTTCTAGGGCAATGCTTTTCTTTTCTTATTACCAGACCCTTAAATTTCAGGTTTCTCTACCCTGCCTGAACTTCCTTTACCAAACTAGTGAGTTTCTGCATCCTGCCTCATTGCTCAGTCCACAGAAGTGCTAGGGGGTGGTGGTGTGTGTCTGCACTTTCCTTTTACATCTTAAGAGACAAGAAGTCAGTGAGGGGAAGGCACTTGGAAAATCTGAAATTGCTGTATAAATGCCACTAAATGATAAGATTGCCAGCTTGGTACTTTTCTCCTAGAAAGGTTCAGCATGTCAGAGGCAGCATTAATAGAAGGAAACAATTTGCTCTCAGACATGTTTTTAAACTGCTGTGGTTGTCAGTTTGCAAGGGGAGGGACTGCTGGGAGCTGGAATCTTGGTGTGACTGGAGCTTTGAGTGGGGTGGGCATGGCTGGCTCTCAGGCGGGGTAGGCTGGCTAAGGGAGGCCTGGAAGCATGTTCTCTTGCCTACCCCAAGTTGATGACACCCCAAGTCAATAAGATGAGCCCTTGTGTGAAACAGGGCACACTCAGAACTGGGGACCTGGCCCTGAACTGCCAGTAACCAGGTGGTGGGTGGGTAGACTCTTGTGACTTGTTCACACTCAACTTTCCATGCTTTGAGCATCCTGGTGTGTCTCTGTTTTGCAATAGTGGTGGTTTCCTCACATGTCATACCCACCAAGGGAGACCTGTTTGAAACCAGATTGGGGAGCAAGTTCTAAACGTGAGGTTCTAGATGGGAGTCCCTGTTTGCCTCTGCCTCTCCAGGGATGATGCATGCTGAGCCCTCAGTCAGTGCATGTTCAGTTGCTGGAGTTAGGTGTTGTATAAGTACAAGCTGCTGTCAGGGATAACTGGTTCCCTTGCAGAGGGAGTGGGCCTCTCCTGCTGCCACAGTATCTCTTTTCTTCTTGTGTTTTTCTTCCCTGTAACTGTTCCCTCCGCTAAGGTCCAGTTGCACTACTCTCTGTACCAGCCATGTGTTCTAATGTTTATCTTTTTCTCTTGTAATTCCTGTCTTTTGAGTTGTCACACTTGTTGATGGCAGTAGGGTGTGTTTGTGTCACCTGTACACAGAGTACATGCTGCTGGGTATGTTTTTCAATGGTGATGCTGGTTCTCCTGATATTAATAACTCCCTGCTGTATTTGAAGCTCATGGTGTGTGCCCTTCACTACAATGGCGTTCCACTGGCCACTGCTGTGGGTATCCGTCAATATAGGGTGGAGGTATATTAATTTTGGAAGGACTCAGACTTCATTGCTGTGAAGTGAATTAAAGAAAGAAACTGTAAGCACCGTCTTTTAGCGCCTATAACCCCACGTATGGCAACCCCTGCTTTGTGTTTCCAGTGGAACCAGCACCAGCCAAAGCTGTGACTATTGTGAACGGAGTGCTCTGTCTCTTAAATCTCCCTACTCCCAGCAACTACACCAAAGGACCACGGAAGTAAGCCAGCTCCCTTCATGGGGTGCATGCTTGTCCTGTAAGTCTCATGTGTGATGTCTTCCTCATCTAGGGCTCTGGCTGACATCTTAAGACAACAGGGACCAATCCCCATAGCACACTGTGAAAGAGAAGCTATCTCGGCCATTGATACCTCTCCCAAAGAGAACACGCCGGTCAGATCGTCCTCGAAAAACCACTACACCCCTGTGCGTACAGCCAAGCAGACTCCAGGTGAGTGAGAGCTGATTACCTTGAATCTTTGCTGAGGCTTCTGAGATGTTTTGGTGATGTTTCTACTCTGGTGGGGCAAGTATACTGTGAGAGATTCTTTGATGGACAGATGTGGAAGTGTTTGGGGACTGTCCCCTCTGGGGAGGGATTGACTTGGGAGAGAACGCCATCAGTGAGTGTCCAGGCTGAACAAGTACTGATCACTTAGTTGGGACTACTTCTTTTACCTGAAAAGGAGCTTACGGCAGCTGTGGGAAGTTATGATCACATACTTGTTCTTTTGATGAGATAGTTTAGGCTACCTAGAATGCTAGATATGTGACAAGAAATTGCTGTACACTTATGTAGAGAATTTTCATTTATTGGCTCTTCCTCAAGGGTAGGGGTTATATCTGTACTATAGGGTCACCTTTTTCCTGTGCCCAGTAGTTTTCCTAAGTATACAGTGAGTTGCTCAGTAGTAGCATGTATCTTCTCTTTTCTTGGTGATATTAGATATAGTAGTATATCTATAATAAGATATTAAGAAGCTGTGATGCTGGTAATATAATCTCAAATTTGCTTTTGTTTTTAAATGTTTTGCGGAACATTTTATATGTATTGCCTTACTCTTCATAGCAATCTTAAGAGTACTTGTATTATCCCCATTTCCTATGAGAACAGAAAACGTTCAATAATTTTCTCAAAGATAGATGGTTAGTAAAAAAGAAATCCATATGCAACCATATTCAACAGTCAGGACTAGAAAACTCTTAATATCTTAACCCGGATGGGGATATTAATCCTAAATATTTGAGTGGAAAGTTTTCTTATATGTTCAGCTGGGGAAGTCACTTCTCAATGTGAACATTACCAGATAGCCTAGTACTGACCCCAATCTGCTCTCATACTTGAATCTGAATGCTTTACTCCCACTATGTGATAGCTTTTCAGATAATGGGTCTGAACTAAACTTGCAATAAGGATATGCAACCACTAGATGTCAGTGTGTGTTTTCCAAATTAAAAATTAGCAGAAACATGCTTGTGGCACCTGATGAGATCAAATTGATTTCCCACTCAATTTTGAATTTTCTTAATATCTATTAAACCAGGAACTACATATTTGCTTTTAAGGTCATAGAATTAAATATTTTGAGAATCTGAAAAGAGCTAAGGACTTTCTCCTTTGAATATATATGTATGAATTCATATATTATTTTGCATAAGATTTAAGGGAATTCATAGATTACTTCAAAGTTAGAAATATCTTATTTAAAAGTAAAGGTGAGCTATTCACCTTTCCTAAAGGTCTAAAATGCATTTTTTAACCTTAGTATCAGAGATGCTTAAAATGTAAACTGTGGAAGAAATCTTGTAAAACAACTGGGCCAATAGTTACCTACATAACTTCACCGTAGAATCACCTTAAAAATGCTAATTCCTGAGACCCCCAAATTAATCAGAACTTCTAGAATTGCTGCAGGCATCAGTATTATTATTATTTTTTAAAATCTTCAGCCTGAAGACAGTATGGTCCAGATGGATTATTATTTTTTTAATAAAGATTTATTTATTTATTCATATGGAACTGGGGTACAGGCCGGAGATGTGGAGGGTGAGAGGATTCACCACAGATAGAGTCGGGAGCAGAACAGGCAGATGATCAAAGTACACTGCTGAGGGGAGCAGCAGGCGGTTCAGGAGAGGTCTGCCTTGCCATGTGGATCTCCTCCGGGGCAGGCGGGAATCAAACTCATGCGGAGGTGGCTTTAGCTTCATTAGTGCTGTGCTTTAATCCCCTGCGCCACCAGGGAGGGCCCCAGATGGATTAGTTTATGACTGAGGACACTGAAAGATTTTGCTAGTGGTTTCCAGAGTTGGCTGCACAGTGAAATCACCTAAGGACCTTTTAAAACCGAAGGGTGCCTGGTCCCAGATTGTGACTTAATTGACGTGTGGGTGTGGCCTACGCATGAGATGTGGGAGGTGGGTGGTGAAAGTTTCAGATGAGTCAAATAGGAAGCCAAGTTTGAGTATCACTGAGCTATGGAAAGTGCATAAAGTGACCACTTAATCCTTGTCAGTGGTCACTATTTAATCTAACTTGGTGGATGGCTAGCTTTGAGTAGGGTTATTTTTTTTTCTTTTCTTAAGAACTGTGGTTTGAAGTCAGGCTCCTGCAGAAACTTGTCTGGGACTCTGGAACTTCAGGTCACTCCGATGTCCAAAGTGTGCCTGGGAGTTTACTTTCACCCCTCTTTGATCCAGTATTTCTTTCTCATTCATACTCAATTTGTTCCCAGTCCCTGAGTCCAGCCTGATGAAGTGAACAGTCTTTCCCTTAAGTGGTCAGTTTGTTATTTCTTCTGGTTTCTATATACATCATCTCCTCCAGTGATCTGAGGCAGAAAGCTTTTAGCTATATGATTCACTCCTGTTTTAAGAAGTCCCACCCCACTTTTCTCAAATTGGAACTATTCACTTGGCTTTTAGAGGTGGGAATTGTTTCCCTGGCCCAGAAAGTATTTTCAGTGGTGACACTTAAATATAAAAGCAATTTCATAACAATCTGCAACATCTTAGCTTATAATGGATACAACTGCTTTTCCAAATACTTGATGTATTTTGCCATAAACATTGCAATTCAAGGAGAAGTTTAAACATAACTTTGTATAAGTTTTCTAAGTGGAGATTTACTGTGATTTGGTGACTTGTCAAATCAGTTGACCATTGATTGTAGGAGTATGGGAAGTCTTTTAGGGAGCCCTTGAGGAAGATACCTGGGAACACCAGGAGGCATCAGCATATGGGTAAGGGTAAATTCCCTATCAGAACGTTGTCTATGGATCAGCACATTCTGCATCACCCAGAAGTATTAAGAAATGCAGAGTCCCAGGCTCCCTCTTGCTTTGTGAGAGCCTGCATTTTTATGAAACCACTTAGCAAGAAAGTTTGAGAAACACTGCAAAGACATAGACTCTGAAATCTATCCCTATCACTTCTGGCCCTATCACTACATATATAACTTCAAAAAGTTTCTTTGCTTTTTTGGGTTTCTTCACCATCTGCTACTCATTGAGGTTAATGGTATCTGTGGTTCAAGCTATAATGAGTTAAAGAGCATTTAAAACAGTTCCACTTAAAATAGGTAGTGAACGCTCAGTGTTAGCCATGACTGAGCTATGGAAGTCTGTCTACAATTCATGGAAACCAAATCAAATAATTCAGAAAAGCAAAAGCATTGGGGTCCCCAACCATGCAGGGTCTGAGGATTATATCTGCATGAAAACCCTAGGACCCGGGTTTTCTGTGCTTGGTCCCTGCCTGCGGCTCGTCATTAGAGGATGGAAGTGGTTTGGGGGGAGGTTTGGGGGGCTCTATCAGGGTTTTGCACATCAAAAGCATTTGCTTAGGAAGTGGGATGAGGGTTTGGTCTTAATATTAATAAAATCAAGTTTCTGTGAGTAGCACAATAGTACTCTGTGCTGGGTACTCTGCTAGACACTGTAACAGAGAGTGGATTGGCAATGTTTTTTTTTAAGTATAGGAACACCTAATCCTACAATAGCAGAAAATGCCTCTTGCCTTCTATAAGAACCTTTGTCCTAACTCCTAGAAGTCCCTCCCTTTCCAACTTTAAAGGGAAATTTATAATTAGGACAGGAAATGAGTGAAGCTCACTTCCATCCCCCACTCTCAAATCTGGTTGCCTCTGACTTTCCCTCCCTGCTCAGGGTGTTATCCAGTGAGGAGAGGGGGCTGCCTCCTGTGAGGGCTGCTTAGAAATGCACACTCTTGAGTCCTTTTCCCGACACCCTGAGTCAGAATCCACATTTTAAAAAGACCCCAATTCAGTATGTATGCACATTAAAGTTGAAGACCTCTGAAACACAGCACTGCTCAGTCTGGCTGCACCTTGGGAATTGTGTAGTCAATTCTGACAATATTAACATCTGGCCCTACCCCTGACATTCTGATTTTATTGGTCGGGTGTGAAGCTTGGGCATTGGTCTGTTCCCAAACTTTTCACATGGTTTTATCGTTCATCAAATGCTGAGAACCAGAGCTGAGAAGGAGACAGTCAAATTGGGGAGCTATACTGTACTATAGAGCTTGGCTTCTCTAGAAGGAGCCAGATGAGTGGTCCAGGTTAGTGACCTGCAGGGACAGATCCTCTCCGCAGCAGGTGACATGGGTTGGGGGAGTGGAGGACTCAGGCTTGCTGAGAGAGGGTGGGGCTCAGTCTGCAGCTGTAAATGGAGACATCTGGGTAAAAGCAGGCCTAAATGGAGCAATCAGAATTGATTAGAGGGTGCAGTGGCTCCAGGTCCCTGGAACCTCGGATTGCGAGGTTTGCTGTGGGCTAGCTTGGTCTTAACAGATAAAGAGGGAGATCTAGCATTTTTGCCCGGTCAGACTCAATCCTGGTGAGGTATCTTGAGGCTACTCTGCACATTGGGGTACCCACCCCCACCCTTGCAGTAGCCATGACATCATGTGTTGGTATTCTGTTGTTTTGCTAAACAATTTCCCATTATCGAGTAGCATCAGCTGGAGGAAATAAATATTTATACCCCAGCTACAGGCCACTGTGAGTTGTGTAAATAAGCAATCAGTCATCTTGCCTCTTGACAGCACTATGAGATTTAATGGTAGACTAACCAAGCCAGGGATGTGATTCTTGAAGCTCCTTGGTCATGGAGACCAAGAGTGAAGGCTGGATTGCCAACAGGGGAGCCCATTGCCACAGCCCTGTGTGGTCTGAACCCCCTGGACAACCGCAACCTTAGCTCCTAATACTTTCTACTTGTTTACTGGAATCTGGACACATGAGCTTCTTACACTCCTCATGCCATGTTTGCTGTAGCCTTGGCCTATTTCCTGCCACCCTCTCCCTGTTTTGTGGCCAGAAACTTCTGGTACAGATATGTATGCTATGAAATTCAGTGATCAGATGACACCCCCTTTGCTAACATCCTCATTTGCTCCTGTTCCTCACTTCATTTTCTTCAGAGCACC